TGCTACCCTTTTTATTCCTTTTTTATTCCCCAAGTGGAATATTGTGCTTCAAACTAGAGGCTTGAAGCTGTGGTAGCAGTGGTTTTTATTTCTTTTACGGGATGGGGTTGCCCAACCTCCCTCTTTACCAGTTTTATTTAGGAGTGCCTCGTAGACCAGGGATAGAACCCGGACCTGACACGTGACAGACGGAAGTACTTACTACTCACTATACAACTGAGGAATAAGCCTATTGTGATCAAATAAGCTCAATGAATATCAGTAATTTTAGATGTTTTTATAGTCTTTTCAGGGATTTACTGATACCGTCATTGAAAAAACTTAAGAAATCTAGGCAAAATGGTGAGTTTAAATGATTGAATTTTGTGCCTAAAAGCTAATAATCCCACTAGGATGTATGGTGTTGTTAAAATTCATAGGACAGGATATTACATGAGATCCATAGGTGATTTTAGAAATTGTTCCACTCACTTAGCTGCAGTATTAAATCCGATTAAAAGCCACTTTCTGAGAAGTAATGTGCAAACTGTTTCAACATTACCCATCACAATGCTCAAGTCTTTGTCAACCTCATTCAGCAGCTGGCTATATGACAATGTCACATGTCAGCTTGTAACAATAGAAGGCAAGACACGGAAGTCAAGGTATTATTTTTCAATTGATCAAACCGCTATTTATATCTATATAGTCGTATATTCTCTAACCAATCACTGAGCGTGTGATTTTGGTTTGCGTTCAACGACATGGAATAAAATATTCAAATATATATATATATATATATATTTATATATAGCATTCTGTTACTAATGCGGTATTAAAGTGTGGGAATAAATAATAATAAACTAATTTTTCCTTCACGTTCCCAGTGGAACATAGGGCTCCAAGCTAGTGGCTTGAAGTTTCTGTAGCAGTGTTTAATTTTTACAGGATGGGGTTGCTAGCCTCATGCCCAACCTTTCCTCTTTATCAGCATTATTTCTGGCTCAGTGAGGTAAAGGAGTGCGCCGGCCGAGGGTCGAACCCCGGACCATATGCATGGTCGGCGAGCATCCTAACCGTTATACCACCGACGCATTAAAGTGAGGGAATATGTGAGAATAATATTCCGTTGGAACACACATTGTCTGTGTCACACCAACACACAAGGTGGTGATCCACAACGAAAAAGTCAGAGAAGCTCTCTAAATGAATACAGGAGCAAGACAAGGCTGTCTGCCTATTATCACTGATCGTATTCCCAATCGTGGTGGACTGTGTTATGCGTGGGACTGGACACAAGGAGTGAGGAGACAGTCATCGATGAAGATTTCAAAGCCAACTAGAATCGAAGAGGCAGGAAAGGCCTTCATCAATATGAAACCAGTTCGGAAATCTTCTACCCCACACTCAGCCAGCATAAAGAACAAGATTCCGATATTCAACACAAATGTGAAGTTAGGTCAGTTCTCCGATATGGGTCAGAAACTAGTCTGGCGTATGACATAAAGGAGTTCCAACAATTTACAGACTTTTATTAACATCTGCCACCTTCACTGACTTCATAATGAAGAACAAATCGCCAGCCATCCGGAGAGAAAGAATTGGCAACAAGAAACTCTGCGGTGGAACAAACCAACCAATAGCTGATTGCTCAACAAATATATAGGAGAAAGTGGAGATGTATCGGGTGAACATCGAGGAAACCGTCGAATGACATCGCACGAAATATGCGCAATCTCTCGAGTGGAATCCAAATAGGAAGTTACGAGTGGGTTTGTGGTGTGAGGGTGACATGGAGGAGATCGTGTGGCGAAGAGGAGATGAGAGTTTATGGGCAATTTTGGACCCATCTGAAGAGGAGAGCCAAAAACAGAAGAAAGTGGAAATGTCTTGTGGAAGCCCTATGTCCCACTCGGAACCCAAAAGAATAATAATAATAATAATATAAAAACCGCTCCAAATCTCGAGCCACTAATTCTTATGAACTAAAACATTGGTTATATCATTTAAAATTAGCTACTGAGGGGGGGGGGAAATGACTAGTTTCAACATTATCGGTTAATACAAACAAATATCGATAAATATGGCCAGAGAAGCCTTCAAAACGAACCCATTTTTGACTGACAACTTGAACTTAAGAACAAAGTCCCACTGGAAGACGTAATACCAGGAGTACAACTATACCTAACTTTTGCAGTATTTAAATTTTATGGAAAAATGTGCCAAACAAACCTGAGGGAGTTGATATGACGTCACCGTTATCTCCAATTGTGGTAGATATATACATGGATAGGTGGAAAAACTTTGCGAATGAAATGTCCACCCCTATGCCTAAAGAGAGTGGGTGATTTACACAGATGACATATTCACAGTACTTAACACACGATGAATAGATAGATTTTTCAAACACACCAAGTTAAAGATAGAGGCAATTCAATTCACTTATGAGTTGAAAAGTCATTAAGGGGTATTTCCAATGTCATATTGCATCATAAATAGAAAAGAAGATAGGAAGTCGAATTTTAGGTACTGTAAGGTTTACTGAGTTGAATGTTTGACCCGTTGCACAATAGGTGGCTCTTGTGGCCCAAGTGGTCTTGGGGATAACGCTTTGGCGTTTGAAACTATGGACACTGGGTTCGAGCCTCGGTGGGAACATCATCACTCACTGAGAAATGCAGGTATATCCAACTGACGAGTCCCAATTAGGACGAAATGTGCATCCTGGATTCCACTGCTAGCCAACATCCACCAATTGTATACTGTAAGGTTCAATTCAATTGACCAGTACGAAATTTTATTTATCAAGGACTTTAAAATTGACTAAATTGGCTAGATCAAAGTAGATGAGATGGAATTCGAAGCTGAAGACCACAGACTGGGAAGCAATGTCTACAAAATTCCTTTAAGGAATTCTACAATTTTCCATCCCTTTTTCACTTTGACTGATTATTAAAGGTTATTTCAGGATGAATTCGTTAATCAGACTGTGTTAACTTTGAAGTTAGTAAATACTGGATTACTTACTCACTATACACCATCTCCATCTATCCTACATTAAGGGGGATGAGGCACAGAGCTGAGAATAAAAGATGCCAGAAAGCTAAACGCTTCTTTCCGTCGGCATCTTTCTTGGACTATTCATATTACAGGAAACAGAATAACGGTTTCCACTGAGATCAAACGTGGAGTATTAGAAAATTTAAATAAGTAAGTCTTCAATGAATTGGGTGACCATATTGACCCACCACCTTCTTTATCCAATAATGATGGCCAAACTAGTATTACCCCGTGAAATATTTAGGAGTGGCTGAACTGAAAACAGCATTGGTTGATGAAACCATTCACTATTATATGCAGACTACCTGGCCAGGCTTGTTAGATTACTAAAAATCAATGTTTAGGCTTTTTCGGTGACATGCCTTGAAATAGTTCACAATAACGCAGATGTATTTGCTAACTGATCTTAGAAATTTCAGACGTCATTTGTCCTCTGCTTTAATATTGAACAGATGGGTTTCTGTTGCCGTTGTAGTTCCATTGTATTCATTTCCTCTACTCTTATATATGCCTATCCAAAATGAGTCAACTTGAACTGATGCACTTCTGTGCAGACATCAACGCTGGGGTCAAAGAAACTCATGAACTCGATTGAGCTACAACTGTTTCACCTTCGGAGAGAAAACATATTTCTGACATTTGGACCTCTAAGAGACCATCGCATGTTTGAGTCAGTGTGTTGAGTTAGCGTATTCTTATAATTTCCAGATCAGATTCAAGCACTATATTCTCCCTTGATTAGTTGGGATGCTTTAGGAGCAGCCTAGCCATTAGCTTAAGGTGAACTAGACTAGGAAGTCAATCAGTTGTAACTAGAACTCATATCTAGTAAGATAACTGGCACACAACAATCACGAAAGTTATTTCAAGCCAAGGACGACAAGCAAATGATGTCTCAGGCTTTCGAACAGTTCATCTAAGTAGTCTCATGTATTCGATATTAGATAGTTGGAGGCTATCGATAGGAAGCTAGTTAGCACTCACCAGTCAGCAAGGAGTATCTGCAACGTCGGAGGAACACGTGTCCCTTCTGAGATTTGGACCCATGTCACCACACATTGCTGCACTCAGAGACGTTACCACTGAGCTATTCAGGCTCGCTATTGACCTCCTGTAGGACTTTAGTTGGTATTTTGATTAGACACTAGTAACTAGTGGGATGTATCTAGTCCCTTCGTTGGTGTAAACTGAATTTCATCAGTCAGGTTTGCAATGTGGCCACCATTCTAGGTAGCTCGCCATCATGGTGCACATGGATTTGATGATCTGATTTGCAAACCTGGCTAACAGAATTCAGTCTGCACCTAAGAGAGGACTAGACATGTCACACTAGTTGCTAGTGTTCAATCAAAATAGCCTCATATATATTTATGTTCTTATTTCAGTGTACTCAAAATCATGGTCATTTTATACCAGATAGTAAGTATGATGTGCATGCCTCCGAATACAGCTCAAATATTAAGAGTATTCCGTTAAAAACACTTCACACAAACAATTTTCTACTCTTACTTTAAATTCACAGTTTCAAACAATGACCAATGAATGTCTGTAGAACTTTGTACACGGATACGGTGTTTGTAACTGTCAGACTTGGAAAAACCACATAATATTGTGCAACAGATCAACACAGATGAGACACATAGAATAAAATAAATGAATGTTAGGGGGAACTTTCTCTTGTATGGAATGTCTACACAAAATCCCTTATAACCTATGCCATTTTTTTAATTTATTTATAAAAAAATTAAATAAAGCTTTTATTATAGCAGACCAGTGAAAAGTAACAGTGGAAGTACACAAATGCATCAAGGTGATGCTATAAAATACATGAAGTCATCAATTGTCGTTCGCATCTGATTATTACTAACTACGATTACAAATAAATACAATGGGTTGGTAAACAGATTGGGAACTGCTATTATTTTTTCGATTTAAAACAAATTAATTATGCCATGACTTACCTGTACACCATTGCCTGTCATTGCAGAACACCCCTGAATTTGCCATGGTCTATCTCTAATCGTCAACAATCCAAGTCCATCTGATATTCTATTTGCTGGTTCAGCAGTAAGTAAATCTTGCTTATTGGCAAATATAATTAAAGGTACACCGGCTAATTTATCTTCTGACAAAAGTTCCAGAAGCTCCTACATTATAATCATCACATTCAAAAAATAATAATGTGGATTAAAGCAACACAACTCATAGAAGTAAGAATTACATAAAGTTTAAACTGTAGCCTGGTTCACAACAATATTGACAAGGTATCAGTTATCAGACACATTTAAGTGACAGGTACACAGAACTAAATTATATGAGAAGCCGTAAAAGCCACGGATCATTCACAAAATAAGTGGCGAAAATCTGAATATTTTTTAAATTACTCCTAAAACATACCAGAAGTTAATACCTCATGAGACTATGGATTTCAAAAATATACACTAAATGTAAAAGGATGCTGAGACTGACCTATTTTTTACTGTGTCTAATCGAAAGCATATTACTCTAAGTCTATCCCCCAAAAAGTTCAATTTTGTTAGTATATATAAATGAAATAACAGTTCTGCTAATCGCAGCCTTACATTAAATCTAAGAAGTAATCAACAAACATTATGTTTATTATTACCTTCATGTATTTAGTTTGATTTTTTATGACAAGTTACCTACTTTCAATTTGTAAACACTCTAAAAGATTTGTATACACTGAAACAACAAGCCCATTCCAGTTCGCATACGTTCGCAATCGTTCTGCTATGTTTTGTAACTAGGTACATTTAGAGTTTTAGACAGCAGTTTATTGCAGTCAACTGTTTCATGCAACTCACCCACTTTGAAATCCTGTCAAACTTCGATTCCATCAAAAGGAACTCTAAGAAGAAATTACAAACTACTAAACCTCCTTGTTGTTTAAATGACAGTCGTGAAAAAAGATATAAAGGAGTGGCTAGGACTGTCTAAGAATGGTGCTCTTTAGTAAAAGGGTAAAATAGTAACGAACATTTCTAAATCATAATGATGGAAGAACTTCAGCATAAGAGGCATCGAAGTAACTAAACAATACGCTATTAATACGTTGCACGATAAGTGAAAAATCAGTCTCCTAGACCCGAAATTGCTTTAAAATCAGTCTCACAAGTGCAAATGAAATTGCTTCTATTTTCTACGATAATTCGTGTGACTCACTATTCCGAAATCTGTTTTCGTTAAAAAACTAAGCAGTTTTCTGTTATATCAATATCAGTTTTATCCATATTTTCACCCTTAGCATCCAAGAAAGGATTTAGATGGACTGCACTTAATATAACTTTCAAAAGAATAATTAGTGTACAATCGCCAGAAGTAAGTATCACCTGCCATAATAGTTTGAAATTGGAACGCTTTTCTCGAATAGGAATTCCCATTTAGGAGGTTAAAAATGCAGTATACTGCTAACACTGGATAAATAACCACTTTCGTGGTATCCGTAGCTAAATGTCAGCGTTCTCATATTAGTATTGCAAATACCAAGCAGATCAAACAAAATAGTAAGTTGCTGCCGATGAATTTACAAAATTTACCTCACCGGTTTCTTCAAACCGTTTCTTATCCGCACTGTCTATCACGTAAATCTGCAAAAATAAAACTATCAGCAAACAGAGACCTACTAATATATCTGTATTTTCAAAATAGTTCTTCCAGTATGGTCTAATTTTCCTTTGTCCCCCAATATCCCAAACGTTCAGTTTGAATCCTTGAGATTGAACGCTTTTGATGTTAAAACCCTATAAATATGTAGCTGTATTCCCTCAGTACCTGGGTGGGAGTTGTTTGTGATATGTCTTCCGACGCTAAATGTTTGAGTATTGTTGTCTTTCCTGCATTATCCAGACCAAGAAGAAGAATCCTGATTTCTTGCTCTGGTTTTGACTTAAGCTTACGTAATAGGTTTAAAAGACCCTTAAAAATTATCAGGAAGAAAAATATCGAAAATACCATCTGACAAGTTGACCGGCCACCTGTTGTTAGGAAAGCTATACATTGACTGGTGAAAAGTTTAAACAAATAAAGACGATCTCTGCAAAATTCTGTATTCAGCACCCTTTTACGAGCTCATATAAACGATACTGATATATCAAAGCTCATATAGTGTTAATGAAACAATGTTCGTTGTTCTTCAGTGGGTTTCTGTAGGGTCCATCCCATCCATGAAACAACGTGGCTTTGGTAGCCCTCATATAGTTGTGATCCACGTCAAAACCATGAAGGTTATGCCATCAAAGTCATTTCTGTCGTAAATTGTTTATCATGTAGCGGTAAATAATTCCCCAAAATTATTGACCACAGCAATCACTCACCATTGGATGCTGACCACCACTGTTTAAGTCGACTTCTTTAGCTGAAGGCTTCCGGTCAAGTATCCCTGCCATTTGATACCCCGTCGTGTCACGTGCACGATTATTAGCCAGCTAAGCGTTCGTCTGACTGCTTGTTTTGGTCCCGAAATATATCACGAACTTTGGACGATCAAATATTGGCTTTTGCTTTGTTGTTGGTACGCGAGAATAATAAGTTAGAGGCTGTGTAAGAGAATTCCGTCAACCTCTAAACTGGTGAGCCCAACCGCGAACTTCATCCACGATAAATCCGCAGATAACCTCGGTGAGTTCGTTCCATTTTGTATTTGTTCTTGTACCATATATTATTCGACATAATTTTCGTCATGAGTGATCTTAGTCCCAAGGTCATTCGTATCCGCTCAACTCCTAAAACCATTCAGCTCGTACCATACTGGCCAGATAATGCTGAAACGTGGTTTTAGCTAGCTGAAGCAGATTTTTGTGAGCATGGGATAACCGATCAACGTTCACAGTTACTTGCAGTTATTCACGCCCTACCGCGGGAATTCAGCAAGTACGTAACATCACAGATGTTGAGTCCCGAGGTAAGTAACTCGTACGAGTTGCTCAAAGCATCCCTCCTCAGGAGAAACGTTCTCACGGACCGACAACGTCTGGATGAATTATTTCGTAACATCGAGTTAGGAGATCAGTCAGCCGTGAGCATGCTGACAAGAATGAGAGAAGTTATTGGCCAAAGTCAGTTCGACGAAGGACTGTTTAGAGAACTCTTCTTAACCAAGCTGCCACAGTCTGTACAGACCGTACTTGTGACACTTCAGGGTACTGTAATAGAGACTTAGCTATTACTGCAGATAGGATTCTAGAAATAACTAAACGGTCAGTTCCCGAAATATGCTCGATGACTAAGCAGACTTCGAGTAAGGATCCTGCAATGATAGAGTTATGCAACTCCATCCAGCAGATGTTTAGGTCAAACATGCATTCTAACTCCGACCGTCGTCCTAAATCTCCTCAACGCAGGAACTCACGTGGTCGATCTAAGTCCAAACCACGTTCACTGAAAAACCCTGACTGGTGCTGGTACCACAACACCTATGGCCAAGAAGCGAAGTGTTGCCGTAAGCCTTGTAACTTCGGAAATGTCTCAAAGTCTGTGGGAAACTATCCCGCCGGCACGCGTTAGCGGCAACCGTCGCCGGTGGCACTAGCCGCCTACTTTACATCCATGATGTGATAAGCCAGACTCGATACTTAGTCGACACAGGCGCCGAAGTCAGCGTCCTTCCTGCTACAGCAGCAGATCGACAGAAGGAACCTACCTTCAACTTACAGGCTGCAAATGGAAAACCAATCGCAACCTTTGGTAGGAAATACGTCTATCTGAACGTAGGTTTACGCAAACCTATTCGGTGGATTTTCCTTCTCGCTGACGTTACAATGCCCATCATTGGCACGGACCTACTTAATCATCATGATTTACTCGTAGACGTCCGCCGAAAACGACTGATTGACAATACTACTAGTCTGTCTATCAAAGGCATCAGCTACATAGGCCCTAGTTTGTCACCCGTTAAGATAAAGGCAATCTTGATCCAACTTTTCAACCTATTGTTGACAAGTATCCGGAACTTAATTGCCCGTCGAACGACCTACCGTGCATAACCAGCAATGTTATGCACCACATCATTACCACAGGACAACCTGTGACATCTAAAGCACGACGATTAGCTCCTGACAAACTGAGAATCGCCAGGAATGAATTTGACCATATGCTTACCCTTGGCATCATTCGACCTTCGAATAGCCCATGGGCATCCCCACTTCATATGGTTCCGAAAAAGGATAGCAATGATTGGCGACCCACCGGTGATTACCGGCGAGTGAATGCCAAAACAACCCCTGATTGCTACCCGTTGCCTCATATACACGACTTGACGGCAACCTTATCCGGCGCGACTATATTCTCCAAAATCGACTTGGTTAAAGCGTATAACCAAATCCCGATGGCAACAGAAGATATCCCGAAAACGGCTATCATTACGCCTTTCGGACTTTTTGAATTTCTACGTATGCCATTCGGTCTCCGGAATGCAGCCCAAACATTCCAACGCTTCATTGACGAAGTATTTCGCGGTCTCGACTTTGTATACGCATACTTAGACGACTGCCTCATTGCCAGTCCAGACAAGGAAACTCACCTTAGGCACTTGGACTTGGCATTTGAAAGGTTACGCCAACATGGTGTTACCATTAATATTCAAAAGTGTCAAATCGGTGTTGACTCACTCGACTTTCTGGGTCACACTATTGACTGCAAGGGCATTCGCCCACTGGCTACTAAGGTCGAGGCTATACTGAACTTTCCAGAGCCACAGACGGTGAAAAGTCTCCGCACTTTTAACGGCTTAGTAAGTTATTATCGACGCTTTATTCCCAACTGTGCCTCTTGATTCAGCCATTGACAGACCTCCTTCGAGGGAATAACAAGTCCATAGAACTTGACGCGTCTGCTCGAAATGCTTTTACCCAGATTAAAAAAGCTATTGCGAATGCCACACTTCTGATGTATCAGGATCCAACGGCACCGTTAAGTATCTCGGTTGATGCATCAAACACTGCAATCGGCGCAGTTCTACAACAGCTAGTTGACAAAGAGTGGCAACCACTCGCCTTTTTCTCCAGGCGCCTTCAATTAGCTGAAACGAAGTACAGCACATTCGGCAGAGAACTTCTGGCTATGTACTGTGCTATACGACATTTTCGACATTCAGTAGAGGGTCGTGAATTCATAATTTTTACTGATCACAAACCTCTGACGTACTCTCTGAACTCACCTTCAGATAAGTATTCACCCAGGGAATCACGACAACTGGATTACGTTCACAGTTTACATCAGATATTCGCCATGTATCCGGAGTAAACAACACTGTGGCAGATGCCTTGTCGCGCGTTTGTTCCCTCACCCAAATCGACGGCATAGACCTTGTAAAACTGGCTCGTCTTCAAAAAGAAGATACCGAGCTTCAACATGAGTTGTCGAAAACAACTCTACAATTAGCTGAGAAACCCTTAGGTATGGGAAGAGATACTATTCTATGCGACATTTCCACGAGTACTCCTCGCCCCATCGTGCCTAAAAGTTATCGCCGTAACGTCTTCAATACGTTGCATGGCTTATCTCACCCAGGTATTCGAACTACTGTCAAGCTCGTAACTAGTCGGTTTTGTTGGCCTGGCATTAATAAAGAAGTAAGGGAATGGGCACACACGTGCTTAGCTTGTCAAAAGTGCAAGGTGATAAGACACACCAAAAGCCCACTTGGCACCTTTCTTCTCCCTGACGCTCGTTTCGAACACGTCCATATAGATTTGGTTGGACCCCTTCCTGAATCCCATGGATACACCTATATTTTAACTTGCATCGATCGATTCACCCATCAAGGACGCCTCTGCTGAAACAGTCGCACGCGTCTTCGCAGAAAGATGGATCGCTAACTTTGGATGCCCATCTTCCATAACAACTGATCGCGGGCGGCAATTCGAAAGTGGCTTATTCTTCGCCCTGACTAAAATCATAGGTTGCATGCGTTTTCGAACAACAGCCTACCATCCTCAAGCTAATGGTATGGTAGAACGTCTACACAGACAGCTGAAAGCTGGTCTGTCAGCTGCAAACAACACCCATTGGACTGAATCCCTTCCGTTAGTTCTCCTAGGGATACGAAACGCCTTGAAAACCGATGCTGGTTGTACTAGCGCCGAGCTAGTATATGGCACGACACTACGACTGCCTGGTGAATTTGTTTCTCCCTCGAGCTTCCCACCAGTGGTAGATCACGCTTCATACGTCAGCAGGCTTACAAACGCAATGCGTTCAGTTAAACCTGCTCCCCTTCGTCCACAGTCCATTGATGTTTTCGTTCATCCGTGTTTGAAAACTTCTTCACATGTATTTGTTCGTCGCGACTCTGTGCGCAGACCCCTGGAACCCCATACGACGGACCTTATAAAGTAATTAAACGTTCGAATAAATTCTTTGTCTTGGACAAAAAGGCCGCGAGGACACCGTCAGCATTGACCGTCTGAAACCGGCTTACTTGGAGGGTAATCCTATTAGCATAGAGCTCAACGTACCCCAAATCCACAAGTAACAGAAGATCGTTTAGACATCGATGAAGTCACTAGCACAGCGACAGCTACCGAACCTTCTATCGAGCCCCCTGAGAAAACCCGTTCTGGACGTACCGTAAGGTTCCCAGAATATCTTCACACTTATTTAACATAACGAAGTCGTGTGATTCACCCAACTCATTCGTTTGTGGTACTAACTATTTTTTTGACGTATCAAATTTTTTATATACAGTATCACTAAACACAAAAATTTTTTTCTTTAACAGTTCATGTAACATGCACAAAAATAGTAGATGTATTCTTTTCGATGTTCTGAACTTAGCATTATTTTACTGTATAGTAAATGCACATCATTTTTTTAACAAAAAACCTGATTTGGTACATTCTCCTCGACATGGTTCTTAGCGTTCTTGTTTTCTTTTCCAGGTGCGACGGCCACTGAACAGGAAACAAACGAAGCACGAGATCCAACGAACAACTTCAAGGAAGCTATGTACAAACACCCTATTAGCATAGGCAGACAAACCAGTAGGCATACCACCAAG